GCAGTGAACACTCGGTAAAGCCTAGCTGTGTGTGGCCAGAGGAAGGAAGTACAAGGACTGTGAGCTGGGCCTCTCCAGACCTGATCGCCCAGCAGCCTGCAAGTCCCCGGGAGTCCCTACTTCATCCTAGCGACTGGGCGAGGCAACTTAAACTGCATTCTCTGTGGGGAACAGAAGTGCGATTGGGTGTGAGGTGCCCCTCGGGCCCCCAGTATGCGTTTCCTGGTCCTCATTGAACCCCCCTCCAAGGGACATGTGTTAATCCAGTCATCGGGGTGTCCCATCAGCTGAGCCACACCAGCTGTTCCGAGCCTGCAGGAAAGAGCCTGCCCCAGGCAGACCCTCGCGTACCCAGCGACTGGAGGGCTCTCAGCTGCCTAATGACAGCTGGGAAATATTGGGGCTCCCCACGATAGGTGCTCTGGGACCTCCTCTGCAGGTTCACTGCACCCCAGGTATGTGCAGCCTGAGAGCCCAGGGACTCTTCCTCCTGCCCCCAGAAGCCGGCCTGCCAGCCATTCATACAAGGCTGGGTGCGGGATCCCCCAGCCTCAGGCAAGGGCACAGTCCTCCTGAGGACAGCCAAGGCTTCAGTGCACGGAGCAGGTCAAACAACAAACCCTGGGGCCGGTACAAAGTCCATGGGGACCGTGGCTGGCACTGGGTGCCTCACCCAGGCCTCCCCCTCCTGCTGTGCCCATCAGTCTCCCTGAATTTCACCCACCAGGAGCTTCCACCCCCGATTACGGGCTTCGGGCTCCCCGGAAGGAACAGTGCTAATTGGCTCCCTAAAGACTCCAACGAAATTCTTGTAAATCTCCCCACAAGCTCAGGCCCAACCAGAGCTCGCTTCAGAGGGAAGGTGGACGGGTAACCTGTCATCCTGACTTGTCCACAGACAAGAATGATCTCGTCACTCAAACCAGTGCCTTGTCAGCATAAGCTGGGATCTGAGCGAAACCACGTTTTCCCTGAATTCACTTGAGACAGTTTGTCTGCAGTTAGTCTATTCAGACTTCCCCTGTACCGTGGTCTGGCCATGTCTGGAGACACTATGGCTCTCACAGGCGGGGGCAGGGGTCTGCTGGCGTCCAGTGGGCAGAGGGCAGGGTCCCCCACGCACAGGACCGCTCCACCACAGACATGTACCCACCCCAGTGTCAGTGGTTAGAGAGTGAGAGACCCTGGTTCATGAGGTCGCTGCCCCTTCCTCTTTACAGAGCTGTTGGTTGTCCCCTCAAAGGTCACCAGCCCCTGCCCAGCAGGTGGTCAGCATCACGGGGGCTCAGGGGTTATTGCAGCCAAAGGAACTAATTTAAAAAAAAAACAACTAATCCAGTGAATTCTAATTCGGCCGAGCGCTTCCCGCTGGGGCCAGATGGCCGCGGCGTCTTTGACCGTCTCACGGTGACCTGTCTTCTCTCTTGCAGCACTCCCTACAAAGTGAGGCCTGTGGCCATCAAGCAGCTCTCTGGTAAGGCCCTGCTATCGTTTTAAAAATTAAAAGAAACAGAAGAAAGCTCCCGGCTACCCGTGTGATGAATGCGTGTTAGTTACGCACTAGCATCTAAAGCCCGGTGCTATCCCAGGATCTGAAGCCATACGCGGCTGCAGACAGCCTGATACTCTCCCCGGCCTGCTCCTCAGGGCCCCCGCCCTCTCCCCAAGGACTTAGACACTGGCCGACAGGCCCCTCTTGTCCCCCTGAGGTCAGTGCCTGTCCCGCCCATTTAGACCGTGAGCCACAAGGGTGGGCCATCTGCAGCCCGCAGCCCTCAGGATGTCTCAGCCAGTGGAGCTGTTTTGTTAAAATCCCATTTCCTCTTGGACCTTTTATCACCCTTCCTTATGTATGCCTTATGCATAATAAAATGTTCCTATTGGAGAGTATATTTTGATGACCTTTGGAAAATTTATACACCCCGGTGACTGCCACCAAAACAAAGACACAGAACATTTACACCACCCGAAAAAGGTCTCTGGTGCCCCCTCTCGTTAACCCCTCCCTCTGCTCCTGGTTTCTGTCAGCAACAGACCTGCTTTCTGACACTGTCGCTGAGATTTGTCTTTTCAAAAGTATCAGATAAAACGAATGCCACGCTGTCTTGATGACTGCAGATTTATACTAAGTCTCTTCTTTTTCAAAAATGTTTTGCTTATTCCGGGGTTCCGTTTATATTCAAATAAAATTTTAGAATCAGTCATTCAGTTGCTACCAAAAAAAGTCTACCGGGATCTCGATGGAAATTGTATTAAATATATAGAACAATTACTTGTCTTCATGTCCAGTCTTCTGATTCATGCATACGGTATTGGGTTATAGTTGTCAGGGTGAAGTTCTTAAATATATGTTGATAAATTTATTACTAAGTATTTCATATTTTTAATGCTATTGTCAATAGGTTTTTTTACATTTTTAACTTCTAATAGTTTTTAGTTTACAGAACTATAATTGGAATTGTATATTGAACTAGCTAAACTATCACTTATTAGGTCCAAAGCCTTTTTGTAGATTTTCTATGATTTCCTACACCTGCATATAGAGAATGCTTCTTGCTTTTAAACCTGGATGCCTTTTATTTCTTTTTCTTGCCTTATTGTACTAGCTAGGATATCTAGTGCCATCGAAGACGGGGAGGTGTGAGAGTGGAGATTCTTGCTCTGTTCTCAATCATAGAGGGAATGTGTGGAGTCTGTCACCATCAATTATGGCGTTAGCTGTAATTTTCTTCAGGGGTCCTTTACTAGGTTGAGAGGTGTTTGTTTTTTCTTTCTATTCCTGATTTGTTGAGAGTTTTCGTTATAAATTGGTGTTGAATTCTGTCAAGTGCTTTTTCAGCCTGTATTGGGAGGATCATGTTCTTTTCCCTCCATCCTGTTAGTAATGAATTTTACTGATTTATTCTAAATCGTTAAACTAATCTTGCATTCCTAGTACAAACTCCCCTTGGCCATGGTACATTTTCTTTCTGTTCTGGATCCAATTTGCAAATATTTTGCAAAGTTTATAAGGGATATTGGTCCATAGTTTTCTGTTTTTATAGTATGTTCATCTGGCCTCATAAAATGAGTCGGGAAGCGTTCCGGGGCCTCTGCATGTGTTTTCCGGGAGAGTTTGTATAGAGTTGGCCTTATTTCTAGTGGATAGAATACCCAGTGAATCCCTGTGTGCTTGGAGTTTCTTTGTGGGAAGGTTTTAAATTATGAGCTCAATTTCTTTAATAGATAAGCATATTCAGGTTTTGTTCTTATTTGGGGATTCATTTTAAGAGGTTGTGTCTATTTCACCTGAGAATTTATTGGCATGATGTAGTTTGAAATATGTCCTTGTGACCCTCTTTATGTCCATGGGATTACAGTGAAGTCCTCGCTTCCAAGATCCTCATAACTCACGTCTTCTCCCTTTTGGAGTTAAGAGGTCTAACCAGAGACCTATACATTTTACCAATTCCTGTTTTGAAAGAGCCAGCTTTGGTTTCATTGGTTTTCTCTACTTGTCTCCTGTTTCATTGGTTTCTCCTCTTTTGCGCCAGGTCCAGTTTTCTCTTTTTTTCCTACCTGATAAAGGTGGAAGCTTAGATCATTGATTTTAGATCTTTCTCTTTATAATAATTTAAAACTAGAGATTTCCCTCTACACGTATTTGAGCTATATCTCATAAATTTGGGTGTATTGTGTTTTCAACTTTATTCAGCTCAAAATATTTTCTAATCTACCTGGTGGTTCCTTCTCCACTCCATTTGTTATTTAGAAGTATATTGTGTAATATTCAAATATTTGGGTATTTTCCAATTATCTTTCTGTTGCTGATTTCTATTCATTCTGTTGTGATCAAAAGTAAACCTATAACTTCAGTCTTTTTTTAATTTATTGAGATACATGGTGTATCTTGGTAACTGTTCCAGGCACTCTTGGAAAGAATGTGTATTCTGCTGTTATTGGAAGGAATCTTCTAGAAATATCAATTAGGTCAAGCTTCCTATATCTTTACTATTTTTTGTCTACTTGTTCTGCCGATTACTGAAAGATGAGATCGAAATATCCACTATATTGGGGATGCGCTTATTTCTTTTCTCAGTTCTCTCAGTTTGGGCTTCATGCATTTTCTTTTCTTTTTTAAATTTATTGATTTCAGAGAGAGGAAGGGAGAGGGAGAGAGAGAGATAGAAACATCAATGATGAAAGTCGTCATTGATCAGCTGCCTCCTGCACGCCCCCCACTGGGGATCGAGCCCGCAACCCGGGCATGTGCCCTGACTGGGCATCGAACCGCCATCTCCTGGATCCTAGGTCAACGCTCAGCCGCTGAGCCACGCCCGGCCGGGCTCGCTTCATGCATTTTCAATTTCTGTTATTGGGTACGTAATTATTTAGGATTGTTGTGTCTTCTTGATGGATCTACCCCTTTATCTTTACAAAATGTGCCCTTTTCCCTTGGTACTATTCCTTGTTTTAAAGTCTTCTTTATCTCATATTAACGTAGCCGCTCCAGCTTGCTCATGCATAGTGCTCAAATGTTATAACCCTTTCCATCTTTTTACTTTTAGTATATCTGTGTCTTTATACTTGAAGTGGATTTCTTACAGGCAGCTTTTATCAATTCTGGCGGTTTCTGTTTTTAAGTGGAGTTTTTAAACCATTTACACTAAATGTAATTATAGACATGGTTGGGTTTAAATCTACGACCTTGCTGCCCATATTCTACCTGTCTCATTCATTCTTTTTTGATGTTTTTCTCTTTCTTAGATCTTTTGGATAATGAACTTTATTTATTTATTTATTTATTTATTTTTGGTTTTTTAGATTTTTTTTTTTATCTTTATTGTTGAAAGTATTACAGATGTCCCATTTTTTCCCCCCAGTTGACCCCCTCCACCTCTCTCTCTCCCCCTCCCCAGGCCTTCACCCCGTTATGGACTGTGTCNTCCCCCCAGTTGACCCCCTCCACCTCTCTCTCTCCCCCTCCCCAGGCCTTCACCCCGTTATGGACTGTGTCCATGGGATATGCATATATGCATAGAACTTCTTTGGTTATCTCTTCCCACCCTCCACCCCCCTTCCCTCTTTCCTCTGAAATATG